AAAGGCCACGCTTTGTCGAGGTAGGCCTGGACCGAAGCCCAGAGACAGAAAGACTGGCGTGTGCTTCTGTTTGATACAGCAGTGTGCGCATTGCTGCGTTAGCATGCGTTTGCTGGTTAAATTTTTTTTAGCTTGGAGTAATTTAGCCCTTCGTTATGATTGGTAAACGAAGCATAGCAGTGAACTAGCCTTGCTGATTCATGGAAGCTGAGCTCCTTCACTTTTACTGGGAGCCAGTTGGCTCAAGATCTGTTACCCGGCTGCAATTTGTATTGGTTTCCTGCTTTAGAAGAATGTAAAAATATATATATATATTATCGTTGTAAAACTAATGATGGTATTAGCTAACAAAGAACTAAACTCCAATAAGTAAAATATGATACTGGAGCCACACCAGAGTAGGGAATTGAGGGGTTTTTAAAGATGGTTGAGTGGAAAGCGTCTATTACGTATTGAAATTTTTCTGCCAGGACATTTGCGCTGGTTTTCCCCCGCTGGATGGAGCTCAGACCAGGTGTCTGCTCTAATGAAGCCACCGCCCTGTGCTGGTCAGTCTCTGTAGCCAGTGGCCTTTCTGGCTGAAAATTCTCCCTCTCGTGGTAGGAAGGGGGGCTGTGATTCACTGTGCCTGCTTTCTTCCATTCTCTCTTTTTTATTTAGTATGGCTCTGATAGAAATGTCCTTTCGAAGGTATGTAAGTGTCTCTTTGTTGAAGTTGCTGGGTTGTTTGTAAGATAACTGCTACCACAGTGCACAAATGGGGGTCTAAGCCTTTAGAATTTCATCTTTGTTGGAATTGTTGTTTTCATGTTGAAATTGGATGTCAGGGTGATGCAGGCAGGTGTAACTGTGATTCCTTGTTTTATGTGGATATCCTGCTTTTTTATGGGACTCCTAATGTCATACAGGGGCCCTTGTGATTCAGTTTCCATGGTGCTAACATGACTGAGCGAAGAGTCTGTGTGTCTGGGTTTGCGAGGGTCCTGAATATAAACAAAGATCCAGGCCTTTAATGACCTTTTGGACACGGCCATCAGTAGTGTGTCTGTCTGCAGGGAGAATGACGACCGCATCGAGAGGTTCACTTACCTTGGCAGCGACGTTCATGTCTCTGGTGACTCTTCCTATGAAATCAGTAGACGGACTGGGAGAGTACATGGGGGGGTTATGAGGACCTTTAAGGGGGTGTGTGGCACTCCTGATGTCTTTGCAAGAGGACAAAGGTCTAAGTCTTTAGAGTCCTGGTGCTCCATGTCTTGCTGTATGGCTGCGAGACATGGACGACCTAAGACCAAGCCAACCAAGATCCTGTGGTGTTTCGTCATGGGTGGCTGCGGCAACACACTGTACCAGTGCATGCTCCCCAGTCTGACCTCACCTGTCCTAACATAGAAGCCAAAGAACTGGTTTGGTCTTGGTTGTGGTTGGCTGTGTTGGTTCTGCTTATCCAGGTTTCCTTCTCCCTTAACAGTTTTCGGTCTCGGGGCACATGGCCCAGTGTGTCTTGTTAGTACCCTGCCTGACCAACCCCCCCCCCCCGTCCTCCCCCCCGAGCAGAGAAAGGATGCAGCACATGAGAAGCTCCTATTTCCACAGAAAGACAGGATCATTGCTTCTAAGTCATAGTAGCTACACTGAGCATAACAGTAAGCCTTGACGTTTGACGTTTTTCATAAGATGACTGGCATAGGTTAACCAGTTGGTGGCTTGTGTCATCTGTCACACAGCATCACTGCAATTTCACAGTCTTTGTTTCCTCTGTTTTGGGCATCACATGAGTGTCAACCATCGTTTCTCTGCTGTTGTGATATTCAGCTGACATGATAGCTGCCAACGGCGGCGCAGTGGAGAGCACAGCTACAAGCTCACGGCGTTTTCGCTTTGAGCGATTAGTGTAGCGTGTGAGCAGTGTAAGCGTTTTAGCTGAGCTGAGGACCATTAAGAGTGGAAAAAGGGGGAAAAGTTCCTTTAATTAACAGGAGCTAAACTTTTGATTAGGCATTTGAATACCTGTTCTAACCCTGGTTGTAAACTGCTGAGTAGCAGCCAAGCTGACATCAGCAATTTCCCTCAGTGTCTGGAGTGGAGAGTTAAATTTGGGTTATTTTATTTGCTAGTTGTTAATTTAATTTTCCCACGAATCAGAATGAGTGCCATTTATTAGACCTCTTTTATTGTCCCATATGTACAGTGTGCTGCTAACGAGGCAATTCCATATGCTTGTGAAGCAGCTTTCTCACCGTAATAATCTCCCAGCCCAAACAATTAAGAGAGAAACCCTCAGCCGCCTCCTGAAGCTGTAGGTGGCCACTGCACGTCAGCCTACAAGCGTCGAGGTTCAGACCTCAAAAAGGGTTTCCATCAGCTCACTCCCTTCCCCCAAGGAAATTACTCATGGGTTCCATAAACACGGCCCTGATGTCTTTACTGGTGAATGAAAAGCGAGGCAGAGTTCTAGTGCAAGATTTCCTCAGTTTAGTAGAATACCTGAAAAGCAGGGCCTCCTTCTGCTGGGTCCTGAAAGTGAGTATGGCTTTCACCCCAGGTTCTGGGCTGAGGAACCATCAGTCTTCTCCCAGCCTTGATCCAGACAGGCGCCGGGAGAAGTTATGATGCAATGACCTGCTAATATCCATTTCCAACAGTCTGATTGGATTGTGCCTGCTTGGGTTTTAAATGATGCAGTAAGACCTCGCAGCTGCATCAGTTACATCTAGGACTATGATCGCAAACCTTCATCTCATTAATGGAGATAATGGTGTGTTGCCATGTGTTTGCTTTGAAGCCACTGGCACAGTGAAATACATCTGACCACAACTGCTCTAAGCTTCCAGCCTGGTGCTCTCTCACACTCTGAGGTTGTGGCAGACTGGATGCACCTCTTGCGCCTGGTCACCGACTCTGCCTCCTTCTGTACTTTTACCAGTATCTGATTCCAAAAGCTCATTCTGCTGCCCTCTATCAGGGCCTTAGGGTTGGTCCTGGAGGCCAGAGAGATGCTCAGCAGTGATAAAACCCATTAAATTACAATTTTCTTTCATCTGAGCTACTCAGATTTTTATCGACCGGTGTAGTAGGACTGAGGGGAGGGGTCTTGTCCCAGAAGTGTTTCCGTTATGCTGATTAAGGCATTTGCCATGTTTCGTTTGATTAGAATCTTGGCACAGTTTTGGAGAGAGGTTTTGTTGAAAAATAGTAAAGGTTAGTTTAGTTATTTCATTCAAATACAGATGTTTAGAACAGAACAGAGAGGTGGCAATGACTGAAAAAGTAAAGAAATAATACAGTGCAATGAAAGTCTAGCTTTGCTTTCTTAACGTATACACATAGTTTTTTCATTCGTTTCTCTTTTCTTTTGAAAAAGTCTGACACTTTGTAACTATTAAATCTATACGTGGAAGTCTGAAGTAATTCTTCAGGAAGCAGCATTTGGCCCTGGTCGGCTGAAGCTATAGGAGCGGCAAAGGATAGAACTGGTAAGAAAGCAGACTACAATGCTTCTTACAAGGGTTTATCACTTCTGCCTGCTAGAAATGAGCAAACCACTCCGATGGCTTACAGTTAGGGTTCGAGCAGACTTAGGAGAATGTTGGGGGTTTTAAAGGTGAAGGGTTTTCCAGCTTGGGAGATGTGGGGGCCTCATGGCGTTTGAGACTCCGACAGCCATGCCACGGAGACACCTTCCTTACTTTCCAGACATCCGGGCCCCAGAATGTCAGAGTGACGGCTAGACTTTTCTGGGAATGTCATTACTTATGCCCAGGGCTGCACAGACCTTCCAGTGGCTGGGGTTTAGCCTGAAAACAGAACACTGTCAAAACTTCAAGGCTGTTTTTAGCTAGGAAAACAGACCTGCTGCTTTGTCCCCTTGTTATCTAGTTTGAAAAGGTCGGGGTCAGAAAGTGAAGAGGTTGCTGTAACACCTCCTCTAATTTGTTTTGCCTTGAGCATCTCTTGTTTTGATTGCGGGAGCCACAAAATACCAACCACATCCTCATAGTCCAGCTCAGCTGCAAAATTAGCTTGAGAAGCCTAATCTCTGGCTTTGTAGTGCACTCTTGGATCTTTCCTGTGGCTCACAAGGCTTATGAACTTTTTTAAGGAGGGTCACTCAAGTTTTGGTGAAGATCATCGGTGTCTTTGACGAATACTAAGTATAAACAAATTCAGTCTCTGCTCTGCCAGTCTGGATTAGATGGATCTAGTGGCACATCAGCTTGTTAGTTTGAAACAAGCCTTTAAATGGAACCGTAGCCCTGGGGATGCAGGGAAATGGAGGGACATCAGTTTTGCTCCTTATAAAACGGAGGAGCCTTGACATGAATCAGACTCCAACCACAGAGCAGGTTGTCACAGCTATTAGAAATTAACATCACATCCGGTTTATCCAGTTAGTAATTTCTTTCAACATGCGAAAATTGTTACTGAACTGTCAAAATCTCTTTGGGATCTTGTACATTCCTGCAGTCACCTCCTCTTGATGATCATCTGCTCTTCCAGGATAAAAACAACTTGTGCTTATTTTGGGTCACTAAGTAAAGTGTTGACAAACCCACAAAAAGGCACTACGCTTTAACTGGAAGGTGACCATGTGCTACTGATTGCATAAAAAAACTGTTGCTGATATCTGCTTAAGGCAGCCTGGGGTTAGCAAGGGGCTGATGTGTCCTTGAGTTCTGGAATTCGCAGTTCATGAATCTTGTCAGGACGTTTGGGCTGACCCTTGACCACAGAAGGTGGCATAGCACACAAGGTCAGCAATGTGTTGCTGGGTAACCTGTTTGCCTACTGTTAATCAGTGTTCCAGATATAGCAACAGTGATGTCAAAGGTCTGATGGTGTTGAATAAGCCTACTTAGGAATATCAACATCCAGTAGTCAAAATAGGTTTTGGTCTATTATTTAAATTATGAAATATAACTTAAGCCTGTTTCTCAATTAAACCAAGCTGAAAACTTACTGTGTTTATAATTAACTGTTGTCAATGTCATTCCTTACAGTGTCAGCATTTTGGTTGGTGCTCCCAAAGCCAACACCAGCCAATTAAGCATCACAGAGGGCGGATCTGTGTACTTCTGCCCCTGGAGTGGAAGTCAGTCACAGTGCACTGTCATTGAATTTGACACTGAAGGTAAGCCTTTCCTATGATCTTGAGGGGTTTAATCAGTGAAACCAGTTGTTTGCTTTTTTGATTACCTGTTTTCAACCTGCTTTCCTTGGAATATGCAGTGGGAAGGTGTTTTGCACAGAATGATTCTCTTGACTTGATGTTGGAAACAATGTAAGCATTACTGTAGATCCCCTAGGTCAGTGTTTTTTAACCTGGTCCTTGGGGGCCCCCATAGGGTCCATGTTTTTGCTTAATGGGACCTGGGAGGGAGCAAAAAATGTGGACTGTCTGGCAGGTAGCTGGGAGGGAGCAGAAACATGGACTGCGCCTTGGACAAAATACTATCCCATCCCAAGGCACGCACACACACACATGCACATGTAGGGTAAACATATCCTTATGGGGACCGCTCATTCATTTCAATGGGAAAAATGCTAACCAGGAAACCGGTCCCCATAAGGGAAAAAAAAACGGATATTTATCACGTTATGGGGACATTATGTCCCCATAAGGATAGGTAAACCCGCTCGCACGCACACACACACACACACACACACAGCAACCATACCAGTCTTCAGTGTTTCCCTGCTTGAGATGTATAGAAGCTGGTAAACTCTTCTTTGCCTCAATAATGGACATTCTCCCTTAAGCACCTACAAAAGAGCTCTAAGGCTGTAGACCATGCCTACAGAGGGTTTAGTTCAGCTACTGGGCTGCTGAAATTGCTTCTTTATTTAGGCTAGACTCATTAGGGAAGGCGGCTTCCCTACCCCTTTCTTCATCTTAGATCTGATAAGTAGGAGCTGATACGGTCTTGTGTCAGACATCCCAAAAGTCCAACCCCTCCACCTCACAATCACCACCCTGGGGGGCGCTGACTCGATGACTGAATTTAGCCATTTGTTGTTGTCGCAAGACTTTATCTAAGCTGCCTGTACACAAACACCCCCCCCC